TTGACGGTAGAAGCCCAGGCCTGGAAAAATCAGAATTACTTAGCTGAAAAGGTGCTAAGGGCAACACCAACGATTAAACGAGAAATATTTAAATATGTATCGAACAATCTGCTTCGGCAGTGAACCGAAAGGAGAAACTACCGGAAAGTGCTTACAAAAGACCCATCTCTTGGCAATTGCCTCTAAGAAGTGTACAATTAGACACAGAGAGCCCAGGCGAGAAGACACCAATTCGTTTTCCAAACATATACATTTCAAAAGAAACCTTCACTTCCACCTCTTTTTACGGACATGTCCAACCACCTAACGGGAAATATCTTCGAGTCCATCTGATTGTTCGCTACTTACCTTTTCCGCCGCTTCAACAGCTTCCCTATTGGTCCATCAGGTAGTTCGTCAGCATCTATGGAATCGCAGAGCTTCATCAACGGTGACATTGAGTCCACTATTTGCCTACAATGAACCGCATTACAATATGACGATGAGCCAGAACTTCAATTGGAAATCACATCTTAATGATGCAATTCAATCTCTCCATACGGCAAACCACAACTAAAACGTACCAGCAATTCATATCCAGTGAAAACGTAAAAATGTTTCCGTTGAGAATCCTAATAACGGTATTCCACTTGAGGTCACAGATATCGACATCAGATTTGCATCTAAACAATGCATCCATGACTGTTTAATCAATTGGCATGACTTAAGCTCAGATAATGAAGATGCCATGTCTTGATTTCTGCGTTCTTCATTGGTTAGGCGGTGCCAATGCGCCACGTACTCACAAAGTTAATAAAAAGCGCTACAACTTGTTTTTTTTTTCGAGTAGGGAGGGCATGAGGAGGAACTTCCAAAAAATGCGCCATAGCATTCAAATGTAATTACCTCCATGGAGTTACAGAAGTTTTGCCTAACCTCAGAAGAAATGTATAGAGCACTGTACAACACCGTATTCGATTAAATGGACGGTTTTTTCATCACACCAATTTATCGTAAAACTTTTTCAGGGATCAAAAAAATTTCAGAAATTGGCTTTGACTTACAATTCCAT